ACATTGATCTGTTTGTGCCGGGGCACCGGATCTTTGGGGTGAACCAGCCTTTGCCGTAATGTGTTTAAAAGCCTGAATTTTGCCTGAAACTCTCAGACTGAAGAAGTCTCTTGGAGGAGAGACGAAACGTTTCATTAGAGAAGAACCCGTCCAGAAGACCTATACAATTTTTTTCTTTTTGATTTTTACCTGGATTGCTGAGATGCATCAGGACAATATTTTGTAAGATTTTCACATGATGACATTATTGCAAAAAACTTTATTAGACAAACTAGAAATTTGCAATAATTTTATATTAGTATAATCTAAATATAGACTCAATAAATACAAAAAACAAGTCAAGTTGAAGGCTGCAGACCTCCCAAAAACACATAAAAAATGCATTCAAATGTTTAGCATTTCGGACATCAAATTTCCTACATTTATACATTTATCTCACACTGACCTGTGCAGGATTCTCCCACTTCTTGAGGAAGTCCTCTTTGGCTTTAGCAAGGAATTCCTTGACTGTTGGAGTAAAGAAAACAACAGCGATTTCAGTGAAAATTACTTTAACTAGTTAGATAATGACAGAAACCACAAAATAAACAAGATAGAAGATATCTTCTGAGGTTAGCTGTACAGAGTATTAAAAATATGTGGTTTGTTGGATCAAATACATTTCAACGACTCATAATGGTGAATGTTACTCATGTTTTCATGTTATTTGGATCATATTTTTCACTTAAGTATAGGTGCGGTGGTAGTCCTGAGGGTCAAAAGCTGAGTGCTGCGTGCATTATGACCATATACAGTAGACATTAAAAATATTGGTCCTGGCCTAAAATCTGAAAGGTATCGATTTACATACAGTGATTCAGATGTAGCCGTCTGTCTTTTGGATGTTTCACAGTTTAAATCCCAGCATGAGAATAGCTAAACACATTCTTTATGACATCCATGTGAATGCTGAGTCAGCAGCATTCACACTGTTGTTTTACTGTTTAGTTTTTTTCCCCCATTTATTTTAGGACTATAAACACTTCAGCATACATTCAGTTATTTTATCCATCCATGTATCACAACTTCCAGCTTGTTTAGGACATTAGGCTATGACTTTTGGGTTTTGTGACTTTTCAAATTATTTATTTGTAAATTTTTCTCTCATAAAAACACACAGAAAACGCTTGAAGACACAAATCCTTGAAAAACTGTCCTTTGAAATCTACTTCAGCAATCCTGTTTGGTTTTTAGATTTAAGCTACTGTTTTTATCATTTTAGCTCAAAATGATGATGATGTGTCTAGATGAGTGGTTTGATCAGTCGTCCTCCAATGAGAGTTGGAGATTTGATTCTGCTGCTACAGATTTAGACTGTATTAGAGCACAAACTGAGCCTCACTCTGCTGCTGTCTTTAGTCACTCTCCTCTACATGTTTGTTGTAATTACTTCTGTCAATAACAAGTGTTTTCTTTGTCTCCCTTCCAGAGGACAGTACAACTAGAGCAGTCCTTCTCTGTGACTCTTTCCTGTCCCCCAAACCCAGCTGGTAAAGGCAGATGGCTGCCCGTCCTGATACTGGTTCTGCTGGAGGTTTCTTCCTGTTAAAAGGGAGTTTTTCCTCTCCACTGTCACCAATGTGCTGTTCAGGATGGGAGACTGTGATGAAGTGATTCAACGCAATCTCTTGGCTTCCTTAGCTTGTTTTGTGTGTGTCCTGAGACGACATATGTTGTGACTTGACTCTATATAAACTGAATTGATTCCACCACTATTCAGTCTCATGTCCAAGTGTCTCTGGACTCCTCAATGGGCCTCATGCAAGAACATGTTCGTATTCTTCTCCTAAATTTCTCTTACTTTTGTTCGTACAAAGGGTTCGTA